ATATATATATAGAGAGATAGAGAGAGAGAGAGAGAGAGAGAGCGAGAGAGAGAAAGAGAGAGAGAGAGAGAGAGAGAGAGAGAAAAAAAAGAAAGAGAGAGAGAGAGAGAGAGAGAAAACAAAAATAAAAAAAAAAGAAAGAAAGAGAGAGAGAGAGAGAGAGAGAGAGAGAGAGAGAGAGAGAGAGAGTAAGAGTAAGAGAGAGCGAGAGAGAGAGAGAGAGCAGAAACGAGAAACGCCAGGATCCACCCTCATCGACTCCTCCTGGCCCCTAACGATACGATGAGGGATTGATGCTGATGCAGCAACAGAACCGACCGATGTGAACGTTCGTTCGCCATTGTCCTCGCGCAACTGGACATGGCGCTCGACGGTGTCTCCAGTGTGCGCTACCATTGCCATCCTGGGATTGCCCTTGCATTCAGGGCCCCCGGACCAGTGGCCCGTTTCGTGGCAGGTCTTGCATTTCGAACGTTTCTCGATCTCCTGGAGCCGTTTCCTGCGACCTTCCAGGGAAGGCCCCCCCTTGCCGCCTCCCTTGGGCGACCAGGGCATGCAGTGGTAAGTCTTGCCTCCGCTCTTTCCCACACCCTTGCCCCTCCCTCAGGCACCAAGGTCGGCGACAAGATCCTCTTGGATCGCGTCGGGAGCTTCTTCCTCCGCGTATCCGGCCTTGACCATCTCGTCGACCACCTCGAGGTCGAGCTCGCTGCTGTCCTGGGCACGAGCCCAGTGAGCATACGATTCCTCGTTGACGCAGGCGCGTTCGTCGGCGCAGTCGCCCCGGGCCGCGTCGCCCCAGCCGTGCTCTGGAGCATAGCCGGACGCATGGTAACCGTAGGGGCTCCACTCCTCAGGGTACTGCTCCTCCTGCTCGCACCATCCTTCATCGGCAGTGTAAAGGCGGGTTGTCGCCGTGAGAAGCGCACCTTGCCCTCGCCCTTGCTCCTGTAGCTGGGTCTGGTCTGCGTCTGCGCCGAAGAGCTGGGGCCTGCACCAGACTCACCCGTGCCTTTTTAGCGGATGTATGTGCGGTCGTGCTGGAGGATCAAGACGTCCTCGGTATCATCGAAGATTGTCACATTTCCTGCGGATGACAACGCCATCAGGTTCCCCGAAGGCGGCAGGCCTGCATGGCACAAGAGAAGGGAGCCAAGCAAATCGTCGCTCATCAAGATCTTAAGATCTAACTTGGAAACAAGTTTCCACCAGCGCTTCCTTCGGGAGATGTACGAGACCATAGACTCACCGCGCTGTCAAGACAGAGGTCCACATGGCCTCTGCCCCACCTGGAATAGGACCTTCGCCCCCTGCGCCTCCATGGGGAAGAGTGAAGCACGAATCGCCAGCACCAACTGACCGACGTCAGAAGCACGTCCTTACCGAGATCCATGGCAATATCGAATGCGACACCTCTGAAACCTGCTACAACCGTGTTGACAGCTGCGGTGATCGCGCGCTGCTGCGGCGCACCCGTCTCTTGATCCACTGAGGCCACGGCGGCACTCTTGCGCATTTCTGTGCGGAATTCCCACTCGTGGAAGATATGCACCGCGCCGTCGTAGATGCAGGAGCCGCTCTTCGTCTCGGACCGCGTCAGCGCGTCGGCGCCCGTCCGAAAGCGAAGGGAAGCAAGTGCCACGGCGCAAGGCTCAGTCCCCTAATGAGTGAAACTGGCAGCACAGAAGGTAAAGTGAGGTAGCGCGACACTCTCGGATGAGACGCGCGCGCAGTGGCACGATACGGGGATCGCGCGGAAGCTCCGCTACAAGCGTGATCATGATGCGTTTTAGCACAAGGGCAAAAAGGGGGCCCCTTGAGCCAAAATGGCTTGAGCCAAAATCGCTACGAGTGGCGCATATACACACGTGACACACGCACTATCTCCCAATTCCCCTACTCGTCACCATTGCCCCCCCCTATCCCTCTCCCACTCGGCATTGTCGTGGTCATTGTCGATTTCGTTCACAACATCGTTTCACCCTAAATCCCTCTCCCCGCCGTCGCCCCCTTTTCTACGCCATTCCCTTCCTCGTCCCCATTGTCGCGCACTGTCGCAGCCCAGTTTACCACCCCCCCTCGCCCCGCCCGCTGACTCCCCACCCTCGCCCCGCGGCGGGGTCGGGGGAGGAAGGGAGGTGCAAAACAGTTTGTCAGTCTCCTCCTGTGCGTCAGGTCGTCGTTTGGACCCCGCGGCGCCGCGCGACTCCCCCTCCTTCTGTCCCGCCTCCTCCCCCTCCCCCTCCTGCTCCTCTTCCCTCCCCCCTCATCCCCTGGCCCATTCCGGTGCTCCCCCCCGCGCGGTCCCCGCCCCCACATCGGAACTGCGCATCTGGCCCTGGCCGCCCCCCACCCCCCCAGCGTCGGCGCGCCCCCCCGCGCGCGCCCTCTCCCCGCAACGAACTCCAACCGGCCCCGCCGGGCGCGCCCGAATGGCGCCCCCGCGCCCACCTCGGCACACCGCCCCCGCGCTTCTTGCCGCGGGCGAGGAAGGGGCCGCCCGCGCAACAATTTCGGCACCCCCTTGCAACGTTCCCTGCCCCCGCGCCGAGATGAGGGAAGCCTCGGAGCCAGACCGCAGGCGCGCACGCCGTGCTAGATAAACCGAATACATGGTTACGCGGGCTACGGGTTATAATCCTTTGTCTCGCTGGGGCCAGCGCCTCAGTCGGACGTTTGGGCGCAGGCCAGCTCGATGTGGCCAGCAAACGACCACCGCCTTTAGCATCGTGTGCAACTTCAACAGAAAGGAAACGAATGAAAAACACAACGTCAAATGCGAGGACCAATCTGCACATAAAGCGAACAATCACGCATGCACATTCTGTGCCCCTCGAAATTCTGACGCGACGGGAAAACACTGCAGCGGACGTTTTCGATTGCAATGCCAGACAGCGCGTGCGCCAACCCCAGCACTTACACCTTGCATTGACAGCTCAGCCAGGAGGTACGCCCGAGGAAAACGACGTGAACAAACACGCACACACACACACACACGCACACACACACACATACACACGCACACACACACACACACGCACACACACACACACACGCAACTGTTGCACTCGCGGTCGCACATCCACGCGGGACCATGCGCTGCGAACAAAACAGGCGCGTGCGGCGGGCACCCCGCGCGAGGGTTGGTCACCCGGCATCCGCTCGGCAACCCTGGCCCTATCGAACCCTACACAGACCCAACGCGGACTCTAGAGGCTCGTATACAAATTCGGCACGGACATTACAGGATCCTATACGGAGCCGGCGCGGACTGTATAGGACCCTGCATAATTAGGTCCGACATGGTCATAAAGGATCCTACACAGAGCCGATACGGAATGTAGAAGGTCGTATACAAATCCGATACGGACTCGAATACAGATCCGATACGGACTGTGTAGGACCCCAAGCCGATACGGATTGTATAAACTCGTATACAGATCCGAAATTGGATGTGTAGGATTCCATACAGACGAGATACGGGCTCTATGGGGTTCTGTACAGAGCCGCCGTAGACTCGATCGGATCCTATACAAGCCGATTCGGCATGCATCAGACCCCATACATATCGAATAGGGAATGTATGGGGTACTGTACGTTACCGTTACGAGCAGCACGGGATCCTATACAGATCCGATACAGACGGTACAAGATCCTGCACATGTCTGGTACGGACTGCATAAGATCCTACAGACGGCCAGAGGCGCCCGTCCTCAAGAAAAACGAAGCCCCATTTTATGCCCGCAAGGACGACCGCCGGCGGCGCCAAAACAGGACAGGCCTGGATTATCGTATCGGGGTTGGATGTTACGCAACGAATAGGGCCGACAACAGGGGGGAGCGATCCCATTCGCGAGGCCCTCGCGAAGCTGTCGTGCGTACCCATCCAGCGGGGGGGGGGCTCGATCCCATATGAATGTTTGGGGGGTGCTACCCTGGATCATTTATAGGGAAGAGGGATGGAGGAGCAGGAACCCTCGCCAAGAGAAAGAGGACGAACGCGGGCTGTCAAGACCCCCCAAAAAAAAAGATAACGAGAGAGAGAGAGAGAAAAAAAAAAAACAAAAAAATGAGAAGTCTCCTCACCCGCGGCGGCAGCAGCAACAACTGACACAAACGCGACCGCAATCGCGGGCAACGCGCTTGCAGCGAAAGGGTCAGCCCCCTGCAAGAGCAGCCGCAAAGCCTTCGACCTGCCTGGTGCTTTGCGCGCCCTGTCCGATCTTGCTGGCGCTCCCATCCTCCAAATGACTTCCTGGGCTGAAGACATGTCCGATTCCGCGGCCTCGCAGGCTGGGCCCGTGGACCGCGACCCCGCGGATACAAAACGTTGGTTCGCGGATGCCCCGTGCGGAACGTATCCGCGCGACCGCGTATCCGCGGGACCGCGCCCCAGAACCCAGACTGCGAGGCCGCGAACACGGGCATGCTCGCCGCTCGTGAGGATGAAGGAGGAGAAGCAGGCGGCGAAGAGGGAGGAAAACGAGCATCGTTATTCCGACCCCTATCCCCATTGGTGTGGCCTGGGCCCGACTGGCTGATTTACCCCCGTTGATGGGTATCCAGGCCGTTTCCTTCGGTTCTCGAGGGGTCTCCTTAATGCGGTTACACGATGCGGACGGGATCCTAGACCCCGACGTCGTGATTTTCTCAAGACGTCGACCCCCAGACGTCTGGAGCCCTTCCGCGGGACCGGTGTTTCATCGTAAGTCAATTGTCGACGGCCCCGAGGCCCCGTAAGAGCCCCCAGAGAATAACAATAGCGAACAACCTCCCGCCGTGTTCTGTTTCTAACGCGAGGGGATCTGGGGAGGAGGGCCGCGTCCCCCCTCCTCTGAAGGGGCCCCAGGACACACAAATAAATACACACAAATGAAAAGATTCCCCATATTCTCCCATATGTTCTGGATTTTTGTCTTCCCCCCCACTTCCCATATCTTCCCATATTTTCCTGGGAATCGACGATTAATTGTGTCTGTGTGCTTTTTCCTCTCCTGATCCTCGGCCGCGATCGCGGCGAGGAGCTGCTCGTTGGCGAGGCCCTTGGGGGTGGGCTGCCCGACGGCCGCAAGGCCGAGCCTCGGAGAGGTGGCGCGCAGGGCGGCGGCCCCGCCCGCCAGAGCGCGCGCGCAGGGAGGCTTTGAGAGAATCGTCGTCGTCGTCGTCGTCGTCTTCGGCGGAGGCGGCGGCACCGGCGAAGCGTCGTCGGCGGCGTCGTCGGTGGCGTCGGCGTCGGCATCGGCGTCGGCGTCGGCGTCAGCGTTGGCGTCGGCGGCGGCGGCGGCGTCGGCGTCGGCGTCGGCGTCGGCGTCGGCTTCGGCGTCGGCGTCGTCGTCGACGGCGTCTCCGTCGGCGTCGGCGTCAGCGGCGGCGACGGCGTCGGCGTCGGCGGCGTCGGCGTCGGCGTCGGCGTCGGCGTCGTCGGCATCGGCGTCGGCGTCGGCGTCGGCGGCGTCGGCGGCGTCGTCGGCGGCGGCGTCGGCGTTGTCGTCGTCTTCGTCGGTGTCGGCGGCGGCGGCGTCGGCATCGGCGTCGGCGTTTTCGTCGGCGGCGGAGGCGTCGGCGTCGTCGGCGGCGTCGTCGT